AAACACCCAGGCGAGCTGGGACTCACTTTTACTCTTTCTAAGTCAACAATGCAATTTAAATCCTAGTTTGGATATCCACGATTTCCTGTTGTACTTCTCATGACTGCCGCATGTCAGCACACATGCTGGGACAGTTAGTTAGATACTTGGAGTCCATCAAAAGGGAGCTTTGGAGTTAGCAAGTCAGCTGGGGTGGTCTTTTATAGACTCCGGAGGAATGAATAAACTCAAATTGCTTGGACAGACAGAAAAGAATCTGTCCAAGGGTATTGCTTCTACACGCTCTGCTTCACATTCTTTCATAACAAAGCATTGAAACAAATAACAGAAGCATGTCTACTTTCCCTCTGCAGGAAGAATGCCTGAGGAGGCTACTGCACTAGTTACTGTGCTTGCCTGCTGACTGTCCTAAATTCTCCCCTGTGAATGTCTCAAGATGGTTCAATGATTGAATTTCTTTCTACAACAAATCCATGAGACACAGATTTCATGAAGGAGAAATTCGAGAGAAAAGATCACTCATGATACACGTACTGTATTTTTAAAAAATCTTTGTGCATCCTAACTACTTTAGTACTAGAGTTCTGGTGGGATAAGGGGGAGGCCTGGGATAAATTCTACAGTGGAGTATCTTTATTCTTCATTGCTAGGTGGCCATGTAGAGTGTCAGACAATGCCTGAACACTAGATGGCACTCATAATCTTAAAACGGTGAAAGGCTAGCTCCCCTTTCTGTGTAGGCAAGAATGTAGGAAACAGTCAATTATGCAAACTATAAAAATATCTACCCAAGCACTTCACACCTTTGCTGTTCTGCAAGGTTGGTGGGCAAATAAGTTTGGGAAAACTACATATTTTATCTGCCTCGGGAAGTGCAAAGCTAGTTCAAGCGTTGTCCCAAAGAAGGAATAGTCCAAGTTATATGAGTTCTTTCTTATACAGTCATCTGAAACTTTTAAAAAATATCAGACACAATCTTAAAGGAGAGTTGCTAATAACATGCTTACTGTATGGCATGCTCTTTTTAAAGTGTTATTTGGGAGAGAAATTGACAAATAGTAAACCATTAATAAATAAGTTATTTAGGAATAGTCTATAGTCTGAATGCCAGACATTCTATCCCGGATTAGTAAGGTAGTTGGCTATTATTATACAAATCTCTTATCAATGAAGACCAATTGAGAAGTGAGATCTAACACAGCCCTCTTCCTTGGAGATTTGATTTCCCTTATCTGAAATTATTACATTATTGTCAACATGACTTATTTGCAAATGAATCTTATCTGACCCAGTGACGGGTACAGACTTTTTTTTTTTTTTTTTTGTGGTACTGGGGCTCGAACTCAGGGCCTTCACCTTGAGCCACTCCACCAGCCCTTTTTTGTGAAGGGTTTTATTCAGATAGGGTCTCTAGAATTATTTGCCTGGGGTTGGCTTTGAACCACGATTCTCCAGATCTCTGCTTCCTGAGTAGTGAGCCACTGGCACCTGGCCTTTTTTTTTGAGTCAGGGCTGACCGTATATCCCAGACTGGCCTCAAACTTGTGATCCTACTGCCTCAGTCTCATGAGTACTGGGATTGTAGGCATGTATTACCATCAGATTTTTTAAAGTCTATCTCTTCATTGCTAGTTAAGAGGTTTTGCTTTGTGTTTTTCGGGAACGTACAGCTCATTTTAAATGTTCGGTACAAGCTGTCAATACAAAATTCTCTCTCTTTCATATTCTATCTACCATTAATAATTCTGTTCTGCTAATTTTCTTTCCTTATATTCTTGTATAATTAGAGCATCTCCACCCTGCTTATTTTTTTGTTTTCTGTAATTGTTTACCAGGGAAATTCTACTACTAACTTTTGAAGCTAGCTGCTTTGTAGCCTGAGTTTAAACAAATTTTAGCAAGCTATGATGGAGAAATGCTCCCTCTTTCCCTCCAGTGGAAAAAGCAGGTAATGTTTTCACCAACGAACATCCTTGCAAATTTTATACATAAAAATATGCTATCTGAACTTCAGAGACTGATACCATGTTCTGTGAATTGTAATCTGTAAGAACACTGTAATTCTGGTTGGTTGCCTTATTTACTATGTGGTCCTGGTAATAGTACTTAAGTGGATACATCTACTTTTAAAAGCATAAATTTGTGTGAATTTTCTTTGTGATTGAGCCATACAGTATCATTAGCTCATCCATTTTCTCCCAAATGTATGGTAGTCAAAACAAAAGCCTATGACTTGTTGGATTTCTTACTTGAACAGAGAGAATCTAATGTCATCTTTGTGTCCTTTACCATTAAACTGAGCATAATAAAGTGTAGTGTTGTTGTAAGATTAAATTAGTTATAAGGAATATCTGGCTCAAAAGTGCCTTGCAAGTATTAGTTCTTTATAACAGAGCAGTGTACACTAAGGTGTGCAATAGAGACTGTTGGCAGAGTTTTGAAGAGCAATTATGCCATGAAAGAGAAGGGAAATTGACTTTGGGTTAGATATGATTTTGAGTCCAACTTCATAATCAGTAGCTGTGGAGCTCTAGAAACATAGTTTAGCCTTTCTGAACTTCCTTTTCCTAAACTAGAAAGTGGGGGGAATGATAATTTACTCCAATCTTTGGCATTAATGCATGTGTCTGAGAATGTACTGTGACAATGTGACTGCTGACAGTAATGAGATGACAAAATGATCACCCAGAGTACAGATGTTAAGCCAGGATGATGAATAAATATTAGCATTTTTTCAGAAAATATTTTAGAGTCAATATCTCAGTCTACAATGATTCCTTAAAGTGCTACCATATTTATCCAATACTTTTCCATTCAATACAAATTTTGCATATATATACAAGGTTCTTTGATAAATGTTGAGGAACAACATTTATCAAATGTTGAGGAACAACATTTATCAAATGAAAGAAAGAAAATTCTCTTTCAGGGGCCTTACCTAGTAGAGAAAGACAGATGTGTAAACATATGTGAGCAGTATGGCTGAATAGCTGCCAGGAATATCTCAATATATCATTCAAGTGTCTGCTGTTGGCATGAGACCTTACCTTCTGTCTCTCAAACTCAGCATCCAGAGACCTGCAAGCTGATAAGTGGGCAGTGGCCTGCATTTGTGGGAGAACCACAGGACCATGTAAGGCAAGGCCATTAATGCAGGCCATTGGACATGGTACTAAGGTCAACTCTGGGCTAGCCTGGTAAGTTGGGTGCATGTGTGTGGGAGGAGGGGAGAATGACAGGATTTGTTCATTTGTTTAACAGGTTGGAATAATAGCTAACAAAGCTCACCTGGAAAATTCTATCTATAAATCATAGCTATTAAATGAAAGCAAGTTTTGCTAAGTACACAATGAAAATCACAAACTATGTGGTTTTGAGATATGATCTATAATTTCACAATAAGAACTGGTCTCCTTATGTAACTCTCTATTATTATTTGCATGATTACCAAAATTCTAATATGTGTCTAAACACTCAAAGTGGCTTTAACTACCCATCACACCAGGGTGGTAGCTGATGTAATGGAAACAAGCAGTCAATAAATATTTGAACAAATAAAAAGCAATAGACAAAGAAAGCAAGAAGAAAACAAAAACAGAAGGAGAAAGTGAGAGAGACAGGGAGCAGATGTGATTGGGCATTAAAATTGAAAATTTAAATCTTACCTCTGGCTCCAGTAAGCTTTAAAATTTTTATTTACTTATATTTTTGATTAACATGTATTAATTGGTCATATTAATTAGGTAAACTTTGACAAGTAACTGAATCTCCCTTACATTACTCTCTAGCTCTAAACATAGACCAACATCTTTCAGGGTGATTTTTGAGGATTAAAAATTACTTTTAGTATCATATAAGACAAATAAATCCTGGAGGTCTATTGTGCAGCACAGACCCTACGATTAACAATACTGTATGGTATACTTAAATTTTTGTTAAGAGGGTAAGTGTTATATAAGTGGTCTTATCATATACACACAAAATAATAGATTAAGAAGGCTGGGAGAAATCTTAGGAGGTGATGGACATGTTTTCAGTATAGAATATGCTGATATTATCACAGGCATATACATATCTCAAACATTAATATTTACAGCTTTCTCTTTCTGTGTGTGTGTGTGTGTGTGTGTGTGTGTGTGTTGAACTCAGGGATTTGTGTGCTTGAGCCATGCCTTCAGCCCTTTTTACTCCAGTTATTTTGGAGATAGGGTCTCACCTTTTGCCAGGCCAGCCATCTCATGCTTCCTGCTGTTGCTGTGATGACAGACACACAACATCATGCCCAGCTTTTTGTGTTGAGTTGTGGTCTTGCAAACTCTTTTCATGGGACTGATCTGAAACTGAGATCCTCCCAGTCTGTCTCTGCTGAAGCTAGGATGACATGCGTTTGCCACCGCACCCAGCTATTGATTGAGCAGGGCAGTGGGGGGCAGGGATAGGTTTAGGAACTTTTTGCCCAGGTTGACCTTGAACTGTGATCCTTATGCTCTCAGCCTCCCAAGTAGCTGGGATTACAAGTGTGAGCCCTGGACTTCTAGCTGGTAATTCTTGAACTTAGGTATATGGTGCTGCTGCTGTTATTATCACCACCAGCAAACTGTGCATAGCATTATTTTGTTTATTTTCTTACATAGTGATATGCCCCAAACATATGTTATATACACATGATAAGGGTGTAGTTTTAGGACTATGGTCATGAGTTTGGAGAAAAACTGTAATTTTTCATAAAATAAGTACAATTTAAAAAAATACCATTAAAATATGCTTCTCAATGTTCTACTGGCTACAAATGAGTCAGAAAATTTAGGAAAAACACATGAATACTTTCACCTTTATCTGTAGGAGTAAGTATAACAAATGTGGAGCACCTGAGCACCATTTAAACTGCAACATGCACCTGAAACCATTAAACTCTCATCCATCTTTCCTTTGTCATTAAAGTGAACTATTCAAAGATGATTATAGGCATAGAGGGAAAGAAGATTAAAGAAAATACTCACAGATAGGATCTGGTCTCCTCTCTGGAGCTCTCCACTCAGGTCTGCTGGCCCACCGGCCAGAATGAAGGAAACAAAAATACCTTCTCCGTCTTCCCCACCCACAATGTTGAAGCCTAGGCCAGTGGAGCCTTTGTGCAGGACCACCTTGCGGGGCTCCCTGTAGAAACAAGTGGAGAACACAATTCACAGGGTGACCCACTCAAGGTTCTAGTTTCTTCTACTTTCATTGGGATATATAACACCAGCCATTTACTACCTACAACAATGGCTTCCCAAGGTAAGATACATTTGTACCACATGAAAGAGGCTAACAGAGAAGTTATTTGAGTTCCTCATTGTAACAACTTACCAAAATACCAAGCAAAATCATTCCTTAATTCCAAAACATGTTCTTAAACTAGACTTCCTTACATTTTTCCTTTGTTTAAAATATCTGCTTTTGTATTGCACACCATGAAAGTACTCATTTGGATGGATATATCCAAAAGGAAGAAGAGGTATCTAGTGACAAGAGACTAGGTGGAACAATGTAGGCAGTGGGGACTCACTGAATGCTTCTAAGGCACTAGAATATTTGAATCCATTTGAGGACAATGACAAATGGTCATGTGTAGGGTTGATGGAACGAGAACTTCAAATATGTTGGGAGGCAGGAAAACCACTTAGAATGCTATCTAAGTAACCCAGGTGTGAAGAAGTGACAGCTGAATAAAGATGAGTGCAATGAGGCTGAAAAGAAGACAAGAGAAGAGAAGAAATTTGAAGGGAGAAGCATTGAAGAAGGAGGAAAGGGAGCATGGAAGTACCTGGCAAAAAGAAGGGGCCTGGAATACAAGGTCATGAGGCTGAGGACGACTTTGACATATTGAGTTTCAGCTGATGGTAAGGCATCTACATGGAGATGTTCTGAAGCAGCTGGAGACAAAGATAGGAATTTGGATTCTCAAAGACTGAAAATGCAGATTTGAAAGTATTCAATGAAAAGGTAAGAGATCATATCTTGAGCCAATGGTTCATTGATTGTATAAAGGCCAGGAAATGATGGAGTTACAGAATTATAAGGGATCGTGAAAGATACTTCAGTTTTCTAGATCAGTAGTTTAAAAAAATGTGTTCTGTAAGCTTTAGGTTTGACCAAGGTGCCTTTGTATTGCCCACCTTGTCCCAAGCAGCTCAGTTTCAGTTACTGAAATTCTCCTATTTTCCTGCTCTCAACGATTCAAGAAGGGTAAGGAGCCATCCAATATATTTTTAGACTAATGGCACATAAAAAGTTCATTTTCTATGACGTTTCTATGCATAAACTAATGCATTATATCTAATAATATCCTTATTACAAGGATGAGTATAAAATTTACATCATAGCTTGAGCTCTAAGTGATATGTCACATAGCAATGCACTGTTAGACATAAATTGACATAGAGTTAGTTCATTTTATTCTACAAATACTTCATAGGCACCTACTATACTAGGGACTTTTCCAGGTACTCAAAATGTTTGCAAATTAAATGAAATTCCTGCCCTTTTGGGCTCACATTCTAAATAAGGGCAGACCACTGACAAGTAATGATGCAATAAGTAAGTTTATTATATACTATTTTAGAGGAGAAAAAGGCAGTGGGATGGGTTGTAGGTAGTATTTCTTGAGAAGGTGATATTTGAAAAATGACTGAGGAAATGAAGAAACTAGTAATGTAGATGCCTATAGGAAGGACATTGCACCTGGATGGAGGAGTTAATACAGAGACCCTAATGTAGGAGGGTGCCCGGCCATGTCATAAAGGAAGAACCATGAGACCAGTGTGGTTAAAGTGAGTGAACAGGGAAAAGAGAATGGTAAAAGACACAGTCAGTGCATGAGTTTCTTATTGCTGAGTAACAAATTACTGAAAACTCAGCAGATTAAAACCACTTATTATCTTATAGTTTTGTAGATCAGAAGTCTGGGTGGGCTTGACTGGGTTGTTTGCCTAGAATGTCATGAGGCTGAAATCATGGTCAGGTAGGCTGAGTGTTATTGGGAAGCTCTGCAGAAAAATCTGCTTCCAAGTTTGTTTAGGTTGTTTGCAGAATTCATTTTTTATAGCTGTTGCACTGTATTAGAATTCTTCAGAGAAATAGAGCCAATAGATTTTTTTGTATATATAGGAAAATTTATATATACACAATGTATATATTTATACAAAATACAAATAATATTATATAATAAATATATTTTGTATAAGATATGTTAATTTTCATATATATTACATAATGTATATGATGATTAAACTTGATTTTCAATTTGATTGGATTGAGGGGCAGATTGGAAATTAGTAAAGCACACCTTTTGAGTATGTCTGTAAGAATGCTTCCAGAGAGGATTAACCAAGGGAAAGATCCACCTTGAATGTAGGTGGTGGCACCATTCCATAGGTTGGGGGCCTGGATGGAAAAAAGGGGAAAAAGGAGAGAGCCATCTTGAGCAGACATTCTCTCTCTCTGCTTCCTGGCTGCTGTGATGTGAGCTGCTCTGCTCCCTATGCACTCTCCATTATGATGGAGTGAACCTTCTGAAACCATGAAAACCAAAACAAATCCTTTCTCCCTTAAGTTGCTTTGCTCAGGTGTTCTGTCATGACAATGAAACACACACAAACTCTCTCCCTCTCTCTTTGTATCTGTGTTTATATATGTATATGTATATATGTATACATGAAATTGGCTCTTGTAATTATAAGAGGATGAGAAGTCCTAGGATCTGCAAATAGACAAATGGGAGACCTGGGAGAGCTAGTAGTATAGATCTAGGCTGAGTCTGAGTTGCAGGAAAAGACTGATGTCCTAGCTTAAAGACCATCAAGAAGAAAATTCTCCCTTACTCTGTTTTTTATTAGTCAAAGCTCCACCCACATTGAGGAGGGCAATCTGTTTTACTCAGACTATTGATCCAAATGTTAATCTCATCTAGAAACCAGCACATAGACACACTCAGGAGAGTATTTAACCAAATATCTGGGGACCCAATAGCTATTAAATAGATGCATAAAATTAACCACCACAATGAGTGAAGTACCATCAACCTAGGGCCTCTCTTTGCTTCTGGAGGCCACCTACATTCTCTGTGTCATGACACTATCTTCAAGCCTGCACCACCACCTTGGATACACTCTCCAGACTTGGAATCTCTCTGAGTTCATCTGCTCTTCGGGGGTTCATGTGATTTGGCTAGGCCCACTCAGATAATTTCCCTATTTTAACTAGTGTCTTTAATTACATTTTCAAAATCCTTGTAACTTAATTTGTGAGTAATACCAGAAGGTAGATATAATAAAGCCATCTTAGATTTTGCCTATTGCAGTCAGAGAGGAAATAGGGGATAAGTACTGTAAGGTCTCAAAGACCATCTTAAAAGCTTTACCTTTTGCTCTGAATGTGATGGGGAGTGTCTGAGAAGAATGACCTGATCTGACTTACTTTCTTAAATGATTACTGTGGTATAAGATGAACTCCAGGAACAAGGACTGAGAAGTGAGGCCCATTAGGTGGCCATTGCTACATTCAGACAAAGCAATAATGACCTGGACCAGGATGACATTATAAGCAGTGGTAAGTAGTCAGTGGTAGATATATTTCCAATGTATTTCATCTGTCTCTTCAGATTGGGTAATTTTTATTTTTCTGCCTTCAGATTCACCGATTATTTCTTCTGTCATATTCATTCTACTAATCCAGTGATTTTTCTTTTTCCTTTAGTTATTACAGTTTTCAGCTTTAACTTTCTATTTATGTTTTATATTTCTTTGCTAAGACTTCCTCCTCCCTTCTTTCCTTCCTTCCTGTTTCTACTTGTTTTCATGTGCTTGTAATTGTTCATTGAAGGATGACAGTTATTTTAATGTCCTTGTCAGATATTCTCAACATCTATGTCAGTGAAGTGTGGTAGTCCTTTATTGTCTTTTCTCATTTAAATGGAGATTCTCCTGGTTCTTGGTGGGGCAAGTGATTATTTTATTGTACTGTGGATTTAGGTGTTATGATGTAAGATGCTGGATGCTAAGTAACCATCTATCTATATATATATATTTTTTATTTTTTTGCAGATGGTCAAGCTATTTAAGTATAGCATGTAGCTACTTATACATATATACATGTATATACATACTGTAAGTATACATATATGTGTGTATATATGTGTATATATTTATATAAAGTCAAGCTTTTACTTTTTTTGCAGCCCGTCTGTAGATCCCAGTGAGATACATGTTCAGTTCCACACTTGGACCTGGTGATACCTCCCCAGGAAAAGCAGAGCATACCATCTCATTGCAATTTGGTGAGTCTGGGAGTTCAGCTCCCCACTTGGTCCTGATAACACTGAGGTTGGTGGTGAGAAAGTGGAGTATTCCCCTCATTCTACCTGAATGCCAAGGATAGGGTAGAAGCTTATCTTCCTACTGAGCCCTGCTGACACTTCCCTGGTAGGCAGATTCATTTCCAAACTAGCACAGCTTCCCTCTTCTTTCTTCTACCTCAATTTCACTGAGCAGGGGTGGAAGTTCGGTTCTCATTCTGCCTATTGACATCTGTCCAGTGGAGGAAGTGAAGGAATATGTTACAGTTGTCTCTCCTGGCTGCCCATGGTTGAGCAGAAGCCTCCTTCTCTACATAGCCCTACTGACACCTCAGGGATGAGGGGACAGTTTTTCCTTTGGCTACAGTCAGTGCAGTACAATATTATCAAAATTCCCCCTTTTGCTTACTAGTCCATCTTTTTCCTAGTCCTTTGTCTGGAGAGAAGGGGCTGAACTCAAGGTTTTTTTGTTTTGTTTTCTGCCAGTGCCCTATCCAGTGTGTATGGGAATCAAGAAGAAAATGCAGGGGTCCCACTGCAGTGTCATTCTTTCCCTAACCAGCCTGCTTCTTCCCCAGCCTTCTTCTAATTTTTAAGTTTTCCTGTGTTGTTTTATTATGTCTAAGGCATTTTTTTGTTTGTTAAATAAGGAGGAGGATTAGAGCGAGAATGAAGAGGATACACTATTTTGGCTTGATCAGGAGTGGAGGTAATGGTCAATAAACCTTTGATGACAAAGTTTTTACAGAAATCTTCCTCTTTCCCCAGGATGAACTTAGAGATTCCTGGTGTTTCCAACCACATTCAAGCTATGCATAGGAAC